CCGCTTCTTTATCTAGGACAAATCCAACGCCATAGACATGGTGTTTATCATGACCAGAGTAGAGTACTGTTTTCCCTTCGTTTGTCAGCTTACCACTGCCAGTCCACCTTACTTCGCTTAATCCCAGGATACACAATTCATAATTGTCAAATTCTCTCATACGTAGTTGGTTTAACTTGCCGCATTGGAATAAAGTCCTAACATTCCATGTGGCTATGGATGTTCTTGTAGTGGCCGAGATCACGGTGCTTTTCAAGACTTGGGCCTCCCGTGGGCTTTGACTCAAGTCCGTCATGTTTGCCAGGGGCGGGCGCCGATCCTCCGACCTAGTTCTGGTACATTGTGGAATACTTGCTGTTTCCGTAGCAATTTGTTTTTACAGAGAGGGGGCGCTGGCCCCTCGTCCAACCCTCACTACTTTTATACCGCCCTGTGGGAACAGGCGGTGCAGGTGCTATTAGCCAGCAGCAGCTCCCCTGGGAACCGTCCCACCATGGTTAAACCTGCCAGGAGCAAGGGGAACCTTACAGGACAAGCCTGAGGGTTCCCACATTGCTCCCGATGGTATCGCAACCCAGGGTCATTGCTGTAGCCGTTGCCCGGGGAATACCACTAGGAGGTTAGCACTCTGACTTAAACCTGTTACTACACAGGGATTATTTCGAATTCGCTCGAAAAAGACAGAAATATGTGAGTCAGCGGCGTCCGCCATCTTGAAAATGAAAAAAGCAGGGAAAGCCGGGTCCAAGTCACGTGATTCAAAGTCATTAGTAAAATTGCACTGTATTCCGTAAACTTGCACTGTATACTAGTAAAATTGCACTGTATTCTAATACCATTGCACTGTATTCCGTAAAGTTGCACTGTGTACTAGTAAACTTGCACTGTATTCCGTAAAATTGCACTGTATACTCTGGCACCCCTGGGTAGTTACCGCGGGCCCCATATTGTCGCTAGCTACCATGGACTACGGAGGATGGTTACCAGGGTTCAGTCTCGGAGTTGTTGTTTTTTTTGAAACAGGCGAAAATCAATGCGCGCGTGGATGCCATCCATAAAATTAAATCAATGTGGCCTTATGTGAGAAAATAAAGAATACAAAAAAATACAATACATTTAAGTATAGGAAATACTATCATGAAAGTTCATCTGTGTTGGTAGTAATCATAGTAAAAGGTTATACTTTATTCCAACACACAATTGTACAGGGATCAAATTTTCAGCGACCACTGTCGCCTTCATCAGAATAATTAATGACCAATCACTTCACAACGTGATCTCGCGAGAATTACGGTTTACAAACACGTGACCTTATTCAC